AGCCCTGAGACCCAGAGCCGCTTCAAGGTTCAAACCCAAACGTGCGCAGCACTTGACTGCAGGCACTTTCGCTTGGGGTTTCGGGCTCTAGGGTTTTATTAGTGTTTTGGGTTTGTGGTTTAAGGTTCTAGGTTTCTCTTTTTAGGGTTATGAGGGTTTACTGTAGGAGGATCGCAAGACAGCCTGCACCAGCCAGCATTCGGCCAAACACTGTCGAAGCTGCCTGGGACAGAGGTGCGGGACTTCCGTGTTGACCTGTTGTCTGCTCACATGCTTGCATCTGCGCCTGCGGCTGCACCCCAACAAGTCACTCAGCAGTCTCAGNNTGGGCAAGCAAGGCAGCGCTCATTTCACGGCTGAACAGATCAGCTTGATGCGGGGGGATGTGCCAAAAATCTCTCAAGTGGGTCCGAGCGTCAACGCGTTAGACGGTCTGGCAGACAACTCCGTCAAGGAGGTCTTGGAAGAGCCACTTGGCCCGCTGTGGCACTCAGGCACTCCGACAACCACCAAGCGTGGCTGTTCGCTCGAGTGTCGCAGCAGGGAAATCAGCAACAGGCCGAGCTCTTTGAGCATCGACGTTGACAAAGCCAGCAATAAGCTCAAGAATTCCATGTGAAAACGGAAGCCGCTCTTAAGGCATCGACATTCATGCCACCCTTAGAGTTTAGCGCTTAGGGTTCACACTTTAGGGTCTAAATTTAGGTCTGAGGCTTTTGGGCGAGAGTGTAGGGTTGGGTCTCAAATGTCTACACGACATTTTTTGGAAACCGGACATGATGACTGCCAGCATTGCCTCATCTGCCGTTCTTCAGCCGACGCCCGAAAATGTCAGCACGCAATCAGAAGATGGCAAAAATATGAACTTAAAACCCTAAGTACTAAAGCTGGAACCACATCGGCATTCGTTCAAAACACGTCCACCGGACGAATTCTTGGCTTTGACCGAGCAAAACAAATCAAACGAAGAAATCTGGGCAGTTCTCGAATAACAAAGTCCAAGAATGATCCACCTGAGATATAAGTCATCTGTATGTATGCACGTACCTACGCATGTATGCATGTCTACACGTATGTATATGAAAATGCACATCATAAGTACGCATGTATGTACGTACACGCTCGTGTATACACACTCACATTTCAAGTGAACGGAAGGGCGTGCTATATTGGCTTCGCTGTATTTTAAAGTATTCCTCGTAATGAGGGTCCGAAAAAGGGGCCTGGGATATAGAGAAACTGCCCTAGTTCAGTCTTTCAGACTCTCTCAAGCTCTTGCACTCAGATGGCCACGCTGATGACTGCCAGAACCACTTCATCAAGCAAGGTCGCGAAAGTCTTCACCTGCTCCGCGTGCAAGAAGCCTTCCTGAGTCGGGGGGCGCTGCGGGCCCTGATCGTGGATTCCCGGACCGAAACAGCAAGACAGGTTAGGCACTTTTCAGGAAAGCCTCCAGGCGATGCAGCATGAGCTGTTGAAGGTCTTTGTTGAATCCATCCACGTCTGTGATCTTCCCCAAGACCAGCTCCTGCAAAGAGTTGGAGGGATTTTCGGGAGGAGGCGACACTCTAAACCCTAAACTCGAAGCCCGTCCTTGTCTGCAGGAAAGGAGGCTTCGGCTTTTCGAACATCCAAGCTGACGAGGCGATCCAGGCACTGATCCCTGGAAGCTGACGAATGTATCTTCAAAGCCTCCAGCGCAGCTCACGACGTCCGAACTACAAAGCAACGGACCTTTTGCCCCGATCTTAAGCTCACTACGTGAACCCGAAACTCTTGCGCAGCCCTCCGAGCAAAGCGGCTTGCTGCAGGTGAAGCTCGTGCGCTTCGACAAGTTCCGCGACACACCA